TTTCATGTCATCACCTCTGAACCAATATTTTCATGTCATCACCTCTGAACCAATATTCTCATGTCATCACCTCTGAACCAATATTCTCATGTCATCACCTCTGAACCAATATTTTCATGTCATCACCTCTGAACCAATATTTTCATGTCATCACCTCTGAACCAATATTTTCATGTCATCACCTCTGAACCAATATTTTCATGTCATCACCTCTGAACCAATATTTTCATGTCATCACCTCTGAACCAATATTTTCATGTCATCACCTCTGAACCAATATTTTCATGTCATCACCTCTGAACCAATATTCTCATGTCATCACCTCTGAACCAATATTTTCATGTCATCACCTCTGAACCAATATTTTCATGTCATCACCTCTGAACCAATATTCTCATGTCATCACCTCTGAACCAATATTTTCATGTCATCACCTCTGAACCAATATTTTCATGTCATCACCTCTGAACCAATATTTTCATGTCATCATTGCCCAGTTAATCTTTCCCCCACAGCATGCATCTCTTTCTCTCTCGATTGGTTCTTTGTGAATATCATAAATTAATTTCTTTCATTTTCTAATGTTTACTTCCTTCTTTTTCTCTCCCTCCCTCTCCACCCCTCCCCTCTTCTCCCCACCCCTCCCTCTCCCGCCTTCCATCCCTCCCTCTACCCCTTTCTTCCTTCCCGCAGGTCCTCGATGGTGGCCAACCGAGTGGCGAGCAGCGGGCGGCAATGGGTGGACGTATTCTCCCGGCACAACAGTGGCACGTACAACAACCAGTGGATGGTCGTGGATTACAAGCTCTTCCACCCAGGCCTACCTCCACCGGATAACACCCTCTGGGTGCTCGAGCAACTACCAGGGTAGGTGTTATGTGGGGTAGGTCGCATTATGTGGTACGTACAACAAACAAAAAGTGGATGGTGGTGGATTACAAGCACTTTCAACCAGGCCTACCTTCCCCCGATGACACCTTCTGGATGCTCGAGCAACTGCCCGGGTGAGTTTCAATGTTCCACTGGGGTAGGTCCATGCTGGGTAGGTGTTTTGTGGGGTAAGGCGTGTGTGGCACAACAGCGGCACGTACAACAACCAGTGAATGGTGGTGGTGTGGATCACAAGTGCTTACAACCAGGGCTGCATGGTGGGAAGGTGGTGTTACGTGGGGTGGGTGTTATGTGGGGTAGGTTGTGTCAGGTGCAGCATATACCAACCAGTGGATGGTGGTCAGGTTGGACTACAACCTTTTTCAAACAGGCATACCTTCAACAGATGACATCCCCTGGTTGCTCGACCAGCTGCCACGAGTTGCTGGCGGACTTGTATCCCTATTCCTTTTTCCTCCCTATTCCTTATCCCCCTCCTCTTCTCCTTCCCCTGTGTCCCCCTTGTCCCCTCGTCTCAAGAATATCGTATCATAGGATATGAGCGCCCACCTGCATAACGAGGGCTACTGAACGTCGCACAGCAACATCCCAGCATTCCATCCCTTTTTTCTTGAACCCCTCCCTTACCTGCAGGCACATTGTAGCGGAGGATATGAGCGCTCACGTGCGATCGGAGGGCTACTGGGCATCATACAACAACCCAGCCTTCCCTGCCATCTTCAACCTCAGTGGATTCGCCGACCTGGGTAGGCGGATCAGGGTGGTCTTATGCGCCCTGCATGGATGCACATGCTGCTGTTATTGAGTCGACACAAAAATTATGCGCCCTGCATGGATGCACATGCTGCTGTTATTGAGTCGACTCAAAAATTATGCGCCCTGCATGGATGCACATGCTGCTCTGCTCACCTGGTATGCCATGCCATGCACAATGCCACACCATGCCACTCCGTGCCACACTGCCCCGTACCATGCTATAACATGTTATGCCACACTATCTCACACCTCACCACACCACACCACACCACACCGCACCACACCCATCCATCAGAGCGGCGCCATGGCGCGTGGTTCTCCCACTCTCAGTGCCCGCGAGCCAAGCTGTTCCGCCGGGACCACGGCAAGGTGCGTGGTTGGGTGGGCGGGCGGGAGGGAGGAGGGATAGAGGGGTGGGTGGGTGGTGGGTGGGCGTGTGCGTGCGTGCGTGGGTGGGCGTGTGCGTGCGTGCGTGGGTGGGCGGGTGTGTGCGTGTGTGGGTGGGTGGGTGGGTGGGTGGGTGGGTGGGTGGGTGGGTGGGTGCGTGGGTGTGTGGGTGAGTGCATGTGCTAGTGGGTGGGTGGACATTAAGCTGGGTCACCACAGAGCCACTCTATGTTTTTGTTCAGGTGCCTGTAGGTGGTGTTCCGCAATGACCAGCACAAGCTAGGTGGTCCCTGTGCTTTTAAGTGCTCATGTATCATTGTGTTGCTTCACCAAGTGCTCATGTGCGCATGTACCCACACCACATGCCCCTGCTCACATGCCCCTGCTCACATGCGCCCATCACTGACGGCAGGAGGTGGACGTGGCATCACTGCAGCGTCTGATGCGATACAACGACTTCAAGCATGACCTGCTCTCATGTGTGTATGTGCCCCGTCTCCATACCCCCATACCCCCATGACCCCATGACCCCATGCTTCCATACCCCCATTGCTCTCAACAGGTGGTGGACGTGGCATCCCTGCAGCGCCTCATGCGATACAACGACTTCAAGCACGACCCGCTCTCCGCCTGCAACTGCACCCCGCCCTACTCCGCAGGCATGTTCCTTTTGTTTCACACCCCACCTTCCACTCTGCCACTGCACCCCAACATACTCCGCAGGCACGTCCTCTTGCTTTGCACACCTCAAATATTTTGAGTCGACTGGTCGTTTAAGTCACTCCCGTACATTCCTTCGCTTTCATTCCCATCCACTCTTACTAACAAGCATCCTTTTGGGATTTACACGAACTACTTCTACCTTTTAACGTATTATCTCAACCTGCCCTTTTCCTGGCCAATCAGAGATTGCAATTGCCGCGCGTGGGGATTTGAACGAGGCGGATGGGAAGTATGAGTTGCCATTTCTGGGCCTCAGGGACCATGCAGAGACTGACTCCAAAGTAACCGGGTAATCGTGCAATTTACCCTGACTTGCAAATGTCAAACTACCCAAATTCACACAACCAATGTTACGAGGCGATTGTCCACGACCATGATTCTTGGGCCATGTTATCATTGCCATGTCATCATTGCCATGTCATCGTCACATTATCACCATTCATCGCCACTTCATCACCACAGGAATAATGATTACCGTAACCATAGCCAGAATGTTACCCATGAATGTAACCATAACCATGTCTGCAGGTACCACATGTTACAGCACAGCCTGGCAGCACTGGCAATAAGCGGACCCACATATGACCAGCAGCCACCATTCCAATGGAGCAAATCACCCTTCCCAAACGTCTCCCATCTGGTAAGTGGAAAGGTCCATGCAGGTGCAGAGCAGTCTAATTGTCCCACAGCATTACCGGGCAGATCAGAGAAGTTTGATCGTCTCATTCGATGCTTTACATCAAACGTTGCAGTTTGATATGTGAGGCAGGTGCTGATAGATGGCTAAGAGCATGTGAGGGGGTTCGCAAGGTTTACATTCCAGGAACAGAAGTATCTGATCGGGTGCATTGTGTCTCCATCAGCTCACTGTTTTGTTCCATGTGCCGAGTGTTGCTCACTTTGTGTCATGTACCATGTGCCGTGTACCATGTGCCATGTGGCATGTGATGTGTGTCATGTGCCACTGTGCATGGTGCCATGATGCCATGTGCGATGTGCTGCTATGCATGGTGCGTGCCTACCAGGGCCATCCGGACCTCTTTCTCTTCCCATGGCTTTCCATCAACTATGGCACGGAGGGCACCGGCACCAGCACCAGCACCAATACTGAAGGCCCCAGCAGCTCCCGACTGTCTGTGCACATCCATCCCCAGCCACACCAGCCAGGCACAGCCGCCATGTAGGACGCACCAGCCAAGGTAAGGTGCGAGCCTGTACATGCATGTAGGGCTATTTGGGCCTCTTTCTCTTCCCATGGCTCCCATGGCATGGAGAGCACCAGCACCAGCCAACTGTTGTGCACTGCACATGCTTTACCATAGCCAGCCACACCAGCCACGCAGATCCAACATGTAGGGTTCTGACTACCGTAGGTGCTAGTATGGAACATGTACTGTACATGTTCACCCGTGCAGCTTTATGGATTGGTTTTCCTTCACTTGAGATTCTGTTTCTGTTTGTTTGATGTCTTGTAGCGGTCTTCATCCTACAAAATTGGGTAGGTTCTGTGTTCTCACTCCAAGTACGAGGTGTTCTGTCATAATATGAGAAACAACAACAGCACAAACGCATGCATTCCGCTAACGGCCTAATAAGCAACCACCCCCAGTATATCTGTCACGCCTTGGGTGCTGCTGGGGCAATCGGAGATCCCGAGGTTCCCTCCGGCCCGTTGCTTCCAGCCTTCGTCGTCGCAGCGGCGGTCAGCGCGGCGGCAGCGGCGGCGGCGGTCCCCACCTTGACTCCGCCGGCTGCTTTCAGCGCGCCGCCGATCTTAGCCGCAGCCGCCACTGAGCCGGCTAGCGCGGCGCGCACGATCACTCCGAAATTGGGAGCCATGGATGAATGAGCCCACCGGCCCTTTAAGTGCGTTTTAGAGCTCGCTGTCGTGATCTGAGCCCAATTCGCTTGTGAACTCAGGTTACAGGTTACAGTGTGATATAGAGTATTACAGGTTACTACAATCACAAATTGGCCAGTCTAGGGAGCTACTTTGCGCAGTCGCCAGCCTGGATGAATCTTTTGAACGCCGATCGACTACTGTTCTACAGCACACGCGAGCTTTCCCAGGGGTGAGCTGTAAATATCAGAAGCGAGTCGCGTGTGATCGTTGCATGGAGAACTAGAGGTCTGTGATTCTGTGAACGGTTGTGGTGACTGGAAGAGGAGATTGCGGGAGGAGCCATGGAATGTGATCATGGAAACTTGTGTTTGGTTTGGTTTGTGTTGCGTGTGTGGAGAGGATGTCCTATTATAAGTTTCTCCAAAATCAGAACGATACTGTTGTCTACATTCTACGACCCGTTTTTGAGAAGGAATACATTTTCATTTTGTTCGCTATTGTTGACAAGGCGATGTCGAACTTGTCTGTTTTCGTATTTCTCGTGATTTCAACAGAGGGATGGAGCACAATAGAGGGCGCCGAGCCGAGCCGAGACTGAGAAGGCTTGCTCCCCGATCAGGCTGACCATTTCTCGAGGTTCGAGAATCCCCAGGTCGAAACTCTCGAGGTTTCAGCCTGGAACTAGGGAGCATGAGTGGAATGGTGTGAAGCATCCCTAGCTACCGACGGTCGCGATTTCCGCTACTAGTATAGGTACAGTGATTTGACGAAAAGCTTGTGCTGGGCTCTAATGCTTGCTCGGTCGGAGTCGACCTTGCGAAGGAGGTTTACGGTTTACGATCCGATCCCTGATGCTGCTTGCCTGACGTCACGCAGCGATCATCGTTGTTTCAATAGCAGCATTTACACAAGGGCCCTTCACGGTGGCGTTGTCGCTTTGTTCGTGGTCACTTCTCAGCCGTACACCCGGTTCAGGTCTTTTCTTCGTACACCTTGAATTTTCAAAACATTTTTCACCCTGAAATCAAGTCGCCGTATATATTTTAATTCTTTATTTCCTGCTTTCTTTCTATACCATCTTTCCTGATTCCAGTGACTCAATCTACCGTTGAATTGACAATCGCTTACTTCAACTTCTCGCCGTACAATTCAACCCCGTCGTTACCAATCACCGCCGTCGGGTCTCCGGACAACCATCTCCGCATTGCGCCATGCCTCCGCGCGCCAGAAGAGGCGGGGCTCGCAAGACCCCCGCATCCACCTCTGCTCGCGGAAAGGCTTCCCCTGCCGCCGCCGCTTCCCCCGCTTCCCAGCGCCGATCTTCCGACAGTCCCAGCGTTGCTGAGGTTCCTATCGCTGCGTCGCCGCTCTCAGTGCTTGGAAATTCTCCTGGAAAATCTCCTGCAAAATCTCCTGGGGATCCTGCTGCGGTTGACGGGTCGCCAGGGCAGACCGGCAGACAGCTGCGGAGCCAGAAGGCTGTAGAGTCTCCGAGCCTGCCGAACGGAGGTTCGCCGAAGCCTCGGGGAAGAAAGCGAGGGTCGTTAGACAGAGAGAAGGACGCTAAGAGGCGGAGGTCGGGCGAGAGGGGCAAGGGAGGTGAGTTCGCGGAGGGGTTTGGGGGAAAGGGGGGGATTGGGGTTGGACAGATGGGAGAGGAAGGATGAGGGGGAAAAGGGAGGGGCAAGGAGGAGGCAGGAGGGGGGGAGGGGGGGGGGGGGGGGGGGGGGGGGGGGGGGGGGGGGGGGGGGGGGGGGGGGGGGGGGGGTAGGGGAGGAGGGGATGTAAATGGTATTGGCGAATGTTCGCTGGAATAAAAAAATAGATTTTGATGTCGTGGCAATTTCACACAGACTGGTGGCTCGCACACGACTCACTCGTGCTTTTCCCCTCTCTTCCCTCCACAGCCGCGTCACCAGCAGGAAAGGCCGCCGCAGGGGCAGTAGCATCACCGGTGGCACGGAAAGCAGGGAAGGCAGGGAAAGCGGGGAAAGAAGGGGAAGCGGGGAAAGAAGGGGAAGCGGGGAAAGGAGGGGAAGGAGGGGAAGCAGAGGAGACGGTCAAACAGGAAGACCCAGACGAGGCTGTAGAGAGAGGGGACGAGGGGGACGCGGGCGAAGAGCAGGGGGTTCAGGTGAGGAGTCTCCAGCAGAGGGGGAGCAGCAACGGCGGGGCGCGCGCAGAGCACGCGGAGAAGGCAGGGGGCGAAGCAGCGGTGCAGGGGCTCGCGGACGGGGTCGTGGGGCGCGGGGGAGGGGGGGGAAGGCTGGTGCTGGCCTTGTTTCCCCTGACCGCCCCATGTCCCCAGGGGGAGCGGCAGGCGCGGGGAAGGGAAGAGGCCCCAGGAAGCGGTCCCCTGCTCCCCCTATCCATGCTGATGGGGAGGCAGGCGGAGCGGGGAAAGGGGGAAGGGGCGGGGGAGGTGCTGGGGGCGGGGGGGCGGCGGGAGGGGCGGGGAGAGGCGGGGAGGAGCTTCAGGAGGTGGTGCATGAGGCTGGGGCGGCGGGGAGTGCGATTGTGAGGGATGAGAAGGCGTTGGACTCGGTTGTGAAGGTGTTCTGCGTGCACACTGACCCTAACTTCTCCCTTCCCTGGCAGCGCAAGAGACAGTACAGGTACGTCTGTTCTCAAATAGGTGTGCGAAAAGGCTGGGCGTTTGCTCTCCTAACCTCTGCCTCCCCGTTTGGCCTTCCATGTATGATTCTCCTCCCCTCTCTCGTATCATTTAGGCTTCCGTCCTCACCCGTTCTTTTTCCCTTCCGTTTGCCTATTCACCCCAGTCCACCATCCGCTTTGCCCTCCAGCTTTCCCATTCCCCTCCCCCTTTCCCCTCCTTTTCCTCACCATTTCGCCGTTATCCCTCACTCGTTCACTATCCTTGCTCGCTCGTTCACCTCCTCCCCCCTTCCCCCTCCCCTTCCCCCTCCCCTTTCCCCTTCCCCTTCCCCTTTCCCCCCCCCCTCCCCTTCCCCTTCCCCCTCCCCTTTCCCCTTCCCCCTCCCCTTTCCCCTTCCCCTTCCCCCTTCCCCTCCCCTTCCCCTTCCCCCTCCCCTTCCCCCTCCGCTTCCCCCTCCCCGTCCCCCTCAACTTTGCGCGTGCAACAGTTCCAACAGCAGCGGGTTCATCATTGAGAACCGCCGCGTGCTTACCAACGCTCATTCGGTGGAGCACCACACGCAGGTGAGGATGAAATGAGATGCACAGGCAGGTGGGCAGTACAGTCAGGTGGGCAGCACAGTCAGGTGGGCAGCACAGTCAGGTGGGCAGCACAGTCAGGTGAACATCCTCTCTGTTTCCACTCGCCTCCTCATTCCATGTTGCTCCAACTCCAATCCTTTTCCTTTCCTCCACACCCTTGGGCCACGCCCTTTCTCCACGGTCCACCCTGCAGGTGAAGGTGAAGAAGAGGGGATCAGACACTAAGTACCTGGCAACAGTGCTTGCTGTGGGCACTGAGTGCGATATAGGTATGCATACTTGCCTTTATTTAACTAGCTACGTGGTATTGCTTCCTAGTTTTAACCCATATCCATTCCTCTTCCTGTCGCTTCCATGTGTCGCTTCCATGTGTCGCTTCCATGTGTCGCTTCCATGTGTCCTTTTCATCCCCCTCATTGACCCCACGTTATTCCCTCATCCTCTCCCTCTCCCCCTCCCATGCGTCCCCCCTCTCCCCGCCACACACACACTCACACAAGCAGCGTTGCTCTCAGTGGAGGATGATGAGTTGTGGAAGGACGTGCAGCCGTGGCCCATTCACCCACTCATCTCCCTCCTCACCCCGCCCACCTCCCACTTTTCCCCTTCTCGTTCCCCCGCTGCACCCACTCATATGAATGCAGCGCTGCTGTCGGTGGAGGACGATGAGTTCTGGAAGGACGTGCAGCCACTTAAGCTCGGGTCTCTCCCGCACCTGCAGGTATGGTTAGGTTCTCTCCCGCATTTCCAGGTATGGCTGAGGCTTGTCCGCACATGCGATCCTCATCTCAACAGAGGGTTTTTCTCAAGGCATGCTTGCTTTGGATGCTCGTGTCTCGTCAACCCATCTCAGTGGCGAGTGGGGTTGTCTCCACATCAAGATCCCTGCCTACATGCATGGGGCGTCCCTTCTTCTATGCAACCCCCTTTGAGGCGCCTCAAAAAAAAAAAAAAAAGGCGCCTCAAAAATTAACCCTGCCTACATGCATGGGCCGTCCCTTCTTCTATGCAAACCCCCCCGCCACACACTCCCTGATTCTATGCTTAATACAAGCACATGCCTGTGTGTCATGCCTTCAAATCATTTCCTCCTCCCTCCATCCCTCCCCTCCACCACTCCGCCTCCCCCTCTCACAACCCTGTAACGGTGGTGGGGTATTTCCTAGGTGGCGACACCGTCTCAGTCACAGCCCTCGTGCACATGCCTCTTTGCCCGACCCCCTCCCTCCCCCCCCTCTCCCCTTACCCTTCCAGGATCCGGTGACAATGGTTGGCTATCCCATAGGCGGGGACACCATCTCAGTCACAAGCGGGGTCATCTCGCGCATAGAGGTGACAGCGTATGTGCACGGGGCGTCAGAGCTGCTGGGCTTGCAGATCGACGCCACCATCAACTCAAGGGGGCACTATCCCCATCCTCAGGCCCCTTCACTCCCGCTCCTCCCCCAACCCTCTCCCTCCCCCCTCCCCACTCCTCCCTCCCCCTCACCCTCACCCCACCCCCGCAGGACCCAGTGACAGTGGTGGGATACCCCATAGGCGGAGACACCATATCAGTCACGAGTGGAGTGGTGTCGCGAATTGAGGTGACAGCATACGTGCACGGGGCATCAGAGCTGCTGGGCGTGCAGATCGATGCCGCCATCAACTCGGGCAACTCGGGCGGGCCGGCGTTCAACGCGGCGGGCGAGTGTGTGGGGATTGCCTTCCAGTCGATGCGAGGCGACGAGGCGGAGAACATCGGGTACATCATCCCCACACCCGTCATCAACCACTTCATCTCCGATTATGACCGCAATGGCCACTATACCGGTAGGTACTGTACGGTATGGTATGGTATGGTATGGTATGGTATGGTATGGTATGGTATGGTATGGTATGGTATGGTATGGTATGGTATGGTATGGTATGGTGGGCTTGCTTCAAAGAGAGACGCACAGTCATGCCTCTTGAGAGCCTTGCTTGGAGAGTGTATCACCACGCCACACCTGTCATCAACCACTTTATCTCCTCTGGACTGGAGGGCGTCTCTTCTGTGCATGCATGTGAGCTCTCAACTTGGGAATTCAGGCGGGGCACGAGGTGTGATTGCTACCATGACTCGCCACAACCCCCCTTGCTCCCATCCCCATTCCCACTTCCACCCCCCACTCCCTCCTGTGCGCTTTTCTCTCCAGGTTTTTCCATCCTGGGGGTGGAGTGGCAGGACATGGAGAGCTGGGTATGGGTGGAGGCGAGGCAGGTGGTGGAAAATGAGCACTGGCTATGAAAATTCTTGAGCGCTGCTCTGAATCAGTTTGACCACAACACCTTCCGAGCTCTCTCTTCATCTGCTCTTCTCTCCCTCTCCCTCCTGTGCGCCTCAGGTTTCCCCATCCTGGGGGTGGAGTGGCAGAAGATGGAGAATCCAGTGCGCAAGGCGCTGGGCATGGAGGCGGGGCAGAAGGGCAAACGTTCACTCACCTCAGCCCGCCCCTGCTCCCATGCCCACCCCATTCTCACTCCCTCCTGTCCCCTTTACTCCTCAGGGTTCCCTATCCTGGGAGTGGAGTGGCAAAAGATAGAGAATCCAGACATGCGTAAGGCGCTGGGCATGGAGGCGGGGCAGAAGGGCGTGCGGGTGAGGCGCGTGGAGCCCACCTCGCCTGCCGCGCAGCTGCTTCAGACGTCCGACATCATACTGTCCTTTGATGGCGTTGCTGTCGCAAACGATGGCACAGGTGCGTGTCTTGATCTGATCGCTTGACGGTGGTGAGTGGCGGCACAGGTGTGTGTGATCGTAAGACAGTTGCGCTCTGGAGATGTCTCAACTCAACAAGGTGCGGCCCAGTTGCTGCAAGCATCAGACATATCCTGCTGTCCTTCGCTGGCATGGCAGTGGCCAGCGATGGCACAGGTGCATTTTATAGTATTCAACGACCCACTTTTTTCTTAGAATTCTCAAAGACAGATTCGGCCAACGATGGCACGGGTGCATTTTATAATGTTCAACAACCCAATTTTCAATTTTCTTCACCTCGATTCCCTGCCCCTCCTTCCTCCTCTCCCTCTCCCCATCCGCCCCCATACCCTGCATCCTCCACCCTCAAAACCCCCCTTCTCTTCTTCCCCCTGCCCCCCTTCACCCAGTGCCTTTCCGCAAGGGCGAGCGCATAGGCTTCAGCTACCTGGTGTCTCAGAAGTACGAGGGTGAGACGGCACAGATCAACGTGCTGAGGGCCGGCAAGGTGCTGCAGCTGGAGGTGGAGCTGAGGAGGCACAAGCGGCTCGTGCCCGTGCACATCGCAGGGCTGCCACCGTCGTATTTCATTGTTGCGGGGATTGTCTTCACTTGGGTCACTGTTCCGTACCTCCGGGCTGAGGTGAGGGCTTAGATGGTTTTAGGTGTCCGACGACCGATGCGGCATGGTGGTGCTGCAGCTGAGGTATGTCACAGTGACCCAGGTGAACACAAACCTCACTACAATGAAGTGGGAGGGAGGCAGCCACTTGTGGCGCCACAAGTTGTTGCCTCCTTCCGACTTGATTGCCGCGAGGATTGTGTTTACCTGGATCACTGAACCATTCCTTAGGACAGAAATGAGGCTTGTTCGTTTTAATTTGTCTGGTGAAGTTTTGGATTAGCTGATGCACCACATGAGACACTCACGCAGATGCTCCTTCCTATCCACCCACCTACCAACAGTTTGCCGCTATTACCTGACAAATGCTCCTCGCAACTCCTTGTGTGCTTTCTTGCTTCCTAACAGTATGGCAAGGACTATGACTCATGGCTATCCCCTGTCCATTGTTCCCTTGTGTTGCTTCCTAACAGTACGGCAAGGACTATGATTATGATGCGCCGGTGAAGCTGCTGGATAAGCTGATGCACCGCATGAGACAGTCGGACGACGAGCAAGTGGTCGTCATCTCACAGGTGCGTGATTGTAACGAGTGTGGGTCTGTAACGAGTGCATGATTTGTCAGGCCTGTGGTTTGGGGAGGTGATTGATGTTACAGAACTTTGGCGTGCATGTTCGTGGTGCAACACGTGCAAGGGTGGCGGATGTGAACATCGGGTACGAGAAAGTGGTGAACACGCAAATGTGTTCTTCTTATCGACTCCTGTTGCATGTGTGCCTGTTCCCCATGCCCAGGTGCTGGTGGCGGATGTGAACATCGGGTATGAGGAGGTGGTGAACACACATGTATGGGGTGGCTTACTCACTCTCCCCTACACATGCAGGTGCTTGTGGCGGATGTGAACATCGGGTATGAGGAGGTGGTGAGCACACCGGCGTGCTGGTGAAGAAAGATCGTGACATATGTGTCAAGTGTAAACCCTTGCTGCGAGTATTCCCTGTCCCCATTCCCAGGTGCTGGTGTGGCGGATGTGAACATTTGCTATGAGGACGCGGTAAAGACTCAGGTGATGGCCCTCAACAGCGTGCCAGTGAAGAACCATTCGGGCATATGTGTAAAGAATAAACCCCCGTTGTGCGTGTATGCCCTTCCCCGACTCCCTTCCCCTATGCCCTTCCCAAATGCGCTTCCCCGTGCCCAGGTGCTGGTGGCGGATGTGAACATCGGGTATGAGGACGTGGTGAACACACAGGTGGTGGCGTTCAACGGCGTGCCAGTGAAGAACCTGCTGCAGCTCGCTCGCCTCGTGGAGGAGTGCACCGAGCCCTTCATGCAGTTTGACCTCGACTACGACCAGGTGGGGGGGAGTGGGGGGGGAGGGGTTGCTGTTTAATGGAGGGGAAATGGTGTTCGGGTGTCCACAAGGTGTGCCTCGTGGAGGAGTGCACTGAGATCTTTGTGTAGTTCGACCTCGACTACGACCAGGTGGGCACGGGGGTTGCTGTTCAGTGGAGGGGAATGTCTGTGTGGTGTGGGTGTCTACAAGGCATGCCTGATGGACGAGTGCACCGAACCCTTCATGCAGTTCGGCCTCGACTACGACCAGGTGGGCACAGGGGTTGCTGTTCAATGGAGGGGAAGTGGTGGGGTTTGGGTGTTCACCAGGTGTGGCTCTGAGGCTCGTGGAGGAGTGCACTGGCCCCTTCATGAAGTTTGACATTGACTATGACCAGGTAGAAAGGGCGGGGCTGGGAGGGGATTCTGGGCTGCACTGAGCCGTTTAGGCAGTTCGTGCCGTTTATGTAAAACACGATGTCCTGGCGAGGCACTGGAACGTACATCCTGCATGCATGTTATGAACGTGTTTGTTTCGATGGGCATGGGTGTGTGTGCAGGTATTGGTGCTGGAAACAGCGAAGGCCAAGGATGCGACACCTGACATTCTTGAGATGCACTGCATCCCATCCCATTGCTCCAAGGACATCAAAGAAGGCCATCTGTCCACAGTTGTGTGATAAGGCCGAGGCGTGATAATATAATGAAGAGACTATCGAACTCGATTTAGGTAGCCCAAGAACGTCATATGTCATTGATATTGCTTCTAGGTCTTAGAATCAGCCGTTCTTGCCCTTCTGCTCCCAGGAATCTCCAGGTTTGTCTAATACACCCCCTAATTAGTACAAATGACTAATTCTGAAATTCCCTATTCACAGTCCGAGGGAACTTCTGTACACCCCAGAAGAAATCTCAATCTGCTCAATACCGGGTCTCAGCTTGATAACATTCAGCTCTGCAGCCCTGGGCTCGCCGCTGCTCGGCCTCGGCGATGCAGTTGTGTAATCTACCTCAACAGCGAACAAACCAGTTCAACGACACGCATCATTTATTAGGATCAACGTCTATTTAGTGAAATTGGCGTCGGAAAGACTCTCTTAAAGCGACGGTGCACTTTCCTAGGGGTGGTTTTTGGGTGTATTGTCATTGAATACCCTTTGGCGCTTGCTGATTCGAGGGCGAATTGTCTAAGGTACGTAAAGCTGGTGCGAGGAATTGAAACAAGGCAGGCAATGCCAACCAATTTCGTACCGTATGGTTGGGTTGGGGGAACACAACGTGGGAGGGCGGAAATCGAGCATAGGGATCCTAGGGGTTGGGGGAACACAACGCGGGAGGGCGGAAATCGAGCATAGGGATCCTAGGGGTTGGGGGAACACAACGCGGGAGGGCGGAAATCGAGCATAGGGATCCGAGAACCAAGCGGAGTCGATCAACCTGACAACACAAGTGATAAACCAGGGATAGCTTCAACTTCAAAGCGTAGAAACCACATCACAATAGCAGGAGTCTATGCAGCCATTCCCTAAGCGCCACAACGGCATAGCCCGCGAGTAGTGTTCGTTTCTCCAGGGGTACAGATCGCATGCGAATGGCGACATCACGTCGTCGCCTGCGCGGCGCGTCGTTTCATATCCTCACTGACTCCTCGCCGTGTCGCCACCTCCCATCCGCCTTCCCGACTCGCCGGAACCCATCCTCCACAGCCTCTCGCCTCCCCTCCAAACTCGCCTCCTCCTCGCTACTCCGTGTCCTGGCCGTGCGACCTCCAGTGCCGCCTCGCCTTCTCATCAGCGCATCGCCGCCAGATTGCCGCCACATCGCTGCCTCGCCGCGATAGGAGCCTTCTCATCGCCGCTACAAAATCGCCGCCTCGCCGTCTCGCGACTCGCCGCATCGCCACCTCCCGCACTCGCCGCCTCGCCGAATCGCCGCCTCGCCGCCTCGCCGCCTCGCCATCGCCGCCTCGCCGCTCGCCTCGCCGCACATCGCCGCATCGCCGCCTCGCCACAATCGCCGCTCGCCAACTCGCCACATCGGCACATCGCCGCCTCGCCCCTGTCCTCCAATCTCCCCCCAGCTCAAACCCATGCACTCAGATTCCCCTCCTTTCTTCCCTTGATTCCCCTCATTTCCGCCCCTGCTTCCCCTCCTTTCCCCCCCTGATTCCCCTCCTTCCCCCCCCTGCTTCCCCTCCTTTCCACCCCTGCTTCCCTCCTTTTCCCCCCTGCTTCCCTCCTTTCCCCCCCTGCTTCCCCTCATTTCCGCCCCTGCTTCCCCTCCTTTCCCCCCCTGCTTCCCCTCCTTTTCCCCTTGATTCCCCTCCTTTCCTCCCCTGATTCCCCTCCTTTTCCCCCTGCTTCCTCTCCGTCCCCCCCCTGCTTCCCCTCCTTTTCCCGCATGACTCGTCCCTGCTATGTGTGTATCCTCCCTAGCCCCCCATATCGCTGCCTAGAGCTCCTCTCCTGCCTCCTGCATTGACTTCCCCACGCGCCGCCCCTACCCTCCCCCTGCCCCCTTCACCCTCACCCCGCCCTCTCTCCCCCCCGCCTTCCCCTCTCCCCATGCCCGTCTTCGCCACGCTCCCGCAGGTCGCGTCGCGCCTCTTCCTCGTCCGGGGCGTGCTCTACCCCGCGCCGCAGGTGCACTTTCAAGGGTAATGCGCCTCAATCGCCCACCCCTCTCTTATCGCTTTCTCCCCTCTCTCATCCCCTCCTCCCCTCCCTCATCCCCTCCTCCCCTCTCTCATCCCCTCCTCCCCTCGCTCCTCCTCCCCTCCTTCCTTCTCTCATCTCGTCCTCCCCTCTCTCATCCCCTCCTCCCCTCTCTCATCCCCTCCTCCCCTCTCTCATCCGCCCCTCCCCTCTCTCATCCCCTCCTCCCCTCTCTCATCCCCTCCTCCCCTCCCTTATCCCCTCCTCCCCTCTCTCATCCCCTCCTCCCCTCGCTCCTCCCCTCCTTCCTGCTCTCATCTCGTCCTCCCCTCTCTCATCCCCTCCTCCCCCTCTCTCATCCGCCCCTCCCCTCTCTCATCCCCTCCTCCCCTCTCTCATCCCCTCCTCCCCTCCCTTATCCCCTCCTCCCCTCTCTCATCCCCTCCTCCCCTCGCTCCTCCCCTCCTCCCCTCGCTCCTCCCCTCCTCCTTCCTTCTCTCATCTCGTCCTCCCCTCTCTCATCCCCTCCTCCCCTCGCTCCTCCCCTCCACCGCTCTCTCATCCCCTCCTCCCCTCTCTCATCCGCCCCTCCCCTCTCTCATCCCCTCCTCCCCAATCTCATCCCCTCCACCGCTCTCTCATCCCCTCCTCCCCTCTCTCATCCGCCCCTCCCCTCTCTCATCCCCTCCTCCCCTCTCTCATCCCCTCCTCCTCTCTCTCATCCCCTCCTCCCCTCGCTCCTCCCCTCCTCCCCTCTCTCATCCCCTCCTCCCCTCTCATCCCCTCCTCCCCTCGCTCCTCCCCTCCTTCCTTCTCTCATCCCGTCCTCCCCTCTCTCATCCCCTCCTCCCCTTGCTCCTCCCCTCCTTCCTTCTCTCATCCCCTCCTCCCCTCTCTCATCCCCTCCTCCCATCGCTGCTCCCCCCCTCCCCTCTCTCATCCGCCCCTCCCCTCTCTCATCCCCCAACACCGACAAGCCCGCAACCCTAAGCGTAGCAGAGGGGGAGAGTGACATCGCGCGCGCGTGCCAAGGCGTGCGAGCTGGCACACCAGGCTACTCTCCCACCGCGCTTTCCGCACGCCTCCCGCTTCGCACAGCCTCTAGGCCAGCCTCCTTTTTAGAGATGCGCTCGCCTGCAACAGCAGAGGCGGGCGGGGGGAGGGAGCGGAGCAGTGGGGCGGAAGGGGAGGAAGAAGGGAGCGGAGAGGAGGGGGAGGACGTGGCTGAACTTCCCTCCTTCCCGTCCCTTACCTCCGCCTCCCTGCACTTCACTTCCCCTCTTCTCCTTTACATTCCCTTCCCTTCCCTTCCATTCGCAACGCATCTCCTCCCATCCTCCCATCTCTCCTCCCTTCCTCATGCTCTGTCCTCCCTTCCATGCCATATATCGTCACTTCCCATCCTTACTCCCCACTACTACGGTATGTGCAGGGTGAAGGGTTGTGTTAGGAAGATGGGCGGTGCAGAGTGTGCAACAGCTGATGCAAGAGCACATCGAGGAGCTGAGGCGACACGTTTAGTGGAAGGCTGTTTTGTACATTGAGATATTTATAAGACAATAGTTCTGCTCTCTTTCTTCATGAAGCAGTGTTTCAAAGGAGAAACCTCTACATATACTCACACACCTTCAATGCCATCACCTATAGGATATACGGTACAGAACGTTTGACTGATTGATGTTTCAATACGCTGAGGGTCCACCACATAACTAAAATCTAATCTTGTCTTCTTGGTTGCGTCATGATTGACAGAGCTGCACCACAAAAGGGACAGGAAAGGTGGGAAGAAGTCAAGGGGATCAGAAACAGATCTATTGATATTAAGTGATTGAGGGGCAAGGAAGGAAAGAGCAAGGGCACAAGAGGGGGGAAACAGAGTAACAGAGGCCTGATGGAGTGGGGATCAGAAGGCTTTAGAGGAGAGGAAAGACGGGAATGAATGGGGGAGTGAAAAGAGAGTGTTAGCAGGAGGGAACAAAATGTAAGGTGGGAGAAATGTCAAAATGAAGAATGGATGATGCATTGATGTTGGTTGGGGTACATATAGCTAACCCTAAGTTTTGTACCCCCTAAGACAAACCTCACTATAGGCTACAACATTTGACACACCCCCATAGCCTAAGTGAGGGGTGTCTAGCAGAACCAAACGAGTACGGTCACAAGACCAGTCCAAGAAACAAAGCTCAGGGTGGATCACAACGTCACCACACAGTCTGAGCACAAACAACAGTGGCCACAAGGCCAGTCCAAGAAGTAACAGAGATATATAGAAAGCAAAGTAAACAGTACACTCAAGTCTAAGCAACACGAGAACCAGTGTCAACAAGGCCTAACTGCACACAACACCTCTGGTGGTCACAAGGCTGAAGCGCCTTGGTGAAGATGTCTGCAGTGTTGGCCTCTGACTCCACAAACTCAAAGCGAGCCTGTCCACGCCTCTGCAACTCTCGCAGAAGAAAGTACCTGACGTGAATGTGCTTCACTCTGCTCTCCAGTCGTGGCTCTCGACAAAGGAGAATAGACGCCTTGTTGTCAGTGAACAAGGTCGGTGCAGAGCTCGGCCGCTCACCAAGGTCGGTGAGCAAGAAGGTCAACCAACGCAGCTCCTGTGCCGCCATGGCACCAGCGTAGATCTCAGCCTCAGCTGTAGAGGTCGAGACCGAAGAGGAGCGCGTGGACCGCCAAGAAACAGCTCCAGAACCCAGGCTGAAACAGTACCCCTGAGTAGACCTGTGAGTCTCAGCGTCGTCAGCGTAAGAGGAGTCACAGTGACCAGTAAGTACGACAGACTGCTGTCCTCCAAGAACTAGCCCCACGCCTGATGTCGTCGCTAGGTACTTCGCCACCCTCACAGCTGCTGTCCAGTGAACAGGACGGTGTCTCCCTGGCGCAACAAAGCGCGCAAGAACGCTGAGAGGGAAGGCGAGGTCCGGGCGAGTACAAGTCATCAGGTACATGAGGCAACCCACAAGCTCTGCGTAGGGACCACTAGGCTCGAACGGCTCGTCAGGAAAGGGTCCAGTGAGTCTGTGGTCAACAGCAAGAGGTGTGCGCTGTACTGTGGAGTGCTGAAGCCCGAACCGCTGAAGGACCTGCTGCACCATGTGCGACTGTGAAAGTGTAATGGTGCGAGCAGCTCTGTCCCTGGTGATCTGCAGGCCAAGGTAGTGGCGCAGCTCACCAAGATCAGTGCAGGTGTGTCTCTTCTGCAGTTCGGACTTCACGTGTGCCAAAGCAACCCTGTCAGGGGTGGCGAAAACAAGGTCGTCAACGTAGACCAGAACAAAGAAAGGTGTGGGGCCACGACGCACGAACAGCGACGGGTCAGCAGAAGACGGCTGGAACCCAAGGTCAGAGAGGGTAGAACGCAGGGTGTCGTGCCACTCACGAGGAGCCTGACGAAGACCGTAAACCGGTCGCCTCAGCCTCCACTGGGTCCCAGGAGGGAAAGAGCCAGTGAAGGCAGAGGGACGACGCAACCAGACCTCCTCGTGAAGACTGCCCTGAAGGAAAGCAGTAGAGAAGTCGAGAGAGTGTAACTCGTAGTCTCTCTGTGCTGCTACGTGTAGTAACACCCGAAGAGTGGTCATCTTCGGGGTGGGCGCGAAGGTCTGAAAGAAGTCAACTCCCTCGCGCTGACTGAAACCTCTAGCCACGTAGCGTGCCTTGAAGACCGGAGGAGATCCCGGTGGCCGCTTCACCCTGTAGATCCACATGCCGTCGACTACGTTCGCCCCCGGAGGGGGAACCTCATCGACGTAGGTGCCTGTGGATCTGTAGGAGGCCATCTCTGCGTCCATGGTAGCTCTCCACTGAGAGGCCCAAGGCCCTGACACTGCCTCAGCGTAAGTGCGAGGAGTCGGAATGTCAAGGGCGTCGGGGTCACCCTCAGGGGCGAGGAGCATGGCACAGAGATGAGGGGAAGCGGCCGTCAGGAACTCTAGCTCAAACTGCCTGTCCTCTAGGGCGTCACTGCCAAGGGCAGACACACCCCCGACGGCCAGAGGACTGGAAGGAGGAGCAGCCACAAGAGCGGTGGCGAAGTCAAGGCGGCGGGTAGAGGCAAAGTCAGTGACTGCGGCAGTAAGAGCGGACACAGAGGACACAGAGGCACGAGGGTGGGTAACAAGAGAGAACAGGACGGTACGTGCGGTAGTAGTCAGTGACAGGAGAAGGAAGCGACACAGTGAGGGCCGACTCAGGAGGAGACGGAAGCACAGACGGAGACGGACGAGGTGGACGAGAACAAAGGAAGGCTGTACGAAGGTCAGTGAAGGGAACAGGAGACGAGGGACGAGCACGAGGGGAGCGACGAGAGGCCCAAGTCTGAGAAGGAGGAGGAGACAACGAAGACTGAGGACGAGGGAAAACAGCGGGAGAGGGGTCAGGAGGAGGAAGCGGAGGACCAGAGACGGGAGGAGAGGGGGAGGAGGAAGGAGAGGGAGACGGGAGACCAAGGGTCCGAAGACCCGAGACAGGAGGAGGAGACGGCTGCTGCTGCTACTGCTGCTGCTGCGGCTGCTGCGGCTGCTGCTGCTCCAGCGGCTGCTGCCTCTGCTGCTGCTCCTGCTGCTGTCGCTCCTGCTCCTCGAGCCGCTGCAACTCTCTCTCCTCTCTCTCCAACTCCAGCTGCTCCTCACGAGCACGGCGAACACGAGCCTGGAACCTGGTCGGGTAGGGGTGGGGGGAAGGAGTAGTGTCCGGGGCAGCCCCAGAGTCGACCTCCGAAGCACCAAGCACACCACCCCCAGAGGCAGCACCAACACCAGCTCCAGACCCAGGCTCTCCAGAAACCGAAGGGACACCCTCACCCCCAGACGCAGCACCCCCAGACTCCGCACCAGCACCCCCAGACTCCGCACGACCAGTACCAGCCCCCGGAAGACAAGAGTCCTCTGCAACCCGCGGCTCAGCTCCAACTCCAGCACCCCCAGAACCAGAGACCTGTACAGGGACAGTCGCAGGACCAACCTCTCGAGAGGGAGCACCTGCAGGAGGCGGCGAGGAAGACTGTGGGGAGGGAGGCTGTACAGGGGGGGCTACCGAAGGGGGAGGGCTAGCCTGAGACACACCAGACGGGGCTGGACCAGGGGGGGGAGGCTGTACCGGGGGAGCAGGCGGGGGAGCGGCGGTCAGGAAGAGAGGGGGGGGAGGGACCGGGAGACCTCGACTGGGGTACCTGACGTAGTAGGGGGTGGACTCCTCGAAACGGACGTCACGGGAGTCAAAGAACCGGTGAGAGGGAGGGTGGTAAAAGGTGAAGTCAGAGGAGTCCTCAGGGAAACCAAGGAAGACACAAGGAACGGCGCGAGGCGAGAGCTTGTCCGCGGAGGTGTCGCGGACAAGAGCCAAGCACCCCCAGACACGAAACCTCGACGCGACACCAGGGGACCCTGTCCAAAGACTGGTCGGTGAAGCCTCCGGCCGAGAGACGCGTGGCCAGAGGTTCAGCTGGTGCGCGGCGTACCTGACCGCGTATGGCCACAGGAAATGGGGGGCACGGGCGTGAGTCAAGGAGGTGCGGGCAATCTCCATGACCAGGCCTATGCGACGCTCAGCAACCCCATTCTGCTGTGGGGACTCCGGAAGCGTCCAGGACTGACGAATGCCCTGTTCGCGACAGAATCCAGCGAGAATGCCGGAGCGAAACTCGCCCCCGCGGTCGGAGTGGAGACAGCTGACACGACGACCACGAGTGTCCTGGGTGGTAAGCAACCACCTGATCAGCGTAGAAGTCACCTCAGACTTCCTCGCCAGGGGGAACACTGTGGTGTAGCGGGAGTAGTCGTCAACGACCACAAAAAAGAAACGCTCACGCTCAGGGCCAGGGCGAGGAGAGGGGCCCCAGACGTCCAAGTGCAGCGTCTCAAAAGGCTCGGTGGCCGGACGAAGGGAGGAGGAGTGAGGGGTGGCGCGCAGCCTACCCTCGACGCAAGGACCGCACGGTGGTGCAAGGGACGGCGGCAGCGACGGCAAGACACGCGGGAGACCTAAGACAAGACGCTGACGAGACATAGCGCGAAGACGAGGAGGAGAAGGGTGCCCCAGCCGGTGGTGCCACAAAACGGTGGGGTGGGCAAGCGACCGACAGGAGCACGACGCAGCGACCGGACTAGACGGAGGAACCTGACAAGACACAGCTACCTGGGGGGACGGAGCAACCTGGTGAGACGCGAGGACTCGAACGGGGGGCAAAACAGGGGCCGGGGGCAGGAGGGGCGGCTGTGGCTGCGGCTGCGGCTGCTGCTGCCGCTGCTGCTGCGGCTGCTGCTGCTGCTGCAGTCGCTGCTGAGGGCGCGGGCCAGTGTGAAGAGTGTAGAGACCGGAGCCCGGCTCAGCAGCAAAAGTGGCGAGGGGCTGGTAAGAGTCCCCGTCAACACACACCGCAGTCTCTCCAGAAGGCTCAAACCACACACCCACGTGCTGACTCACGAGGGGTCGCACGCCCACCAAGTTCCGGGAGAACGAGGGGACGTGAAACCCAGTGAGAGACCCAGAAGGAGCAGCCGGACACGGCAAGGTGGTAGTGTGACGCGCGGTGACT